GGGGCTGGGGCAGGGCATGGAACGGAGCCACAGGTCATCTGGAGGATATGGGGTAGGGGGAGCAGCTCCCACCAATGTGCACACCCTGGGAGAGCCAGGGGGTGCATGTGCCCCTGGAACTGCACGGGGCAGGTCAGGGCAGCACAGGCTGCAGCTGCAAGCTGGGGCCGAGGTCTGCTCCAGGCTCTTCCTGGCAGCAGTGGGGCTGGGACACTGCACTCAGGACAGGTGGCAGTAGTGCTAGGAGGGCTATAGGAGGCTGCTGCAGCCACCCCAAATTTTGCTGTAGCCCCCCGCCCATAGCCCTTCCTCCCAACGCTGCCCCTGCCTGCCCCAAGCACAGCCCGGCCCAGTTACCCCCTTGCCCCCCAGGAAGAGCCTGGAGCAGCCCCCAGTCCCAGCCCTCAGCTGGAGCCCACCCTGTGCCCCCCAGCACAGATCTGAGGGCACACGCCCCACCCCCCATGCCCTCCTGGAGTGCATGCAGCGGCAGGAGCTACTCCCCACCACATCCTCCAGACAAGCAATGGCTCCATCCTACACCCTGCTCTGCCCCATCTGGCAGCACCTGCCCCACTCCCTCCCTCACTGCAGGGGGCATTGATTTGCCCCCTCACACCCCTTCCCTCCTCCCTCCCTGTCCACCACAACAGACTTACTAGCTGGACTCAGCTGCATTGGAAAATCAGATTGGTATCAGCTAATATTCCTCCTTATAAATTGGCTATCAGTATCAGCCCCCGAAATCTCTATTGGTGCACCCCTAGTGACAACCTGGTATACAAGCATCACCTTGGGCTGCCTGATTCCCAGCCTGAATGACCCAGTATCCATTTACAGCTAAGCCAACAGGGGTAACTATTGGCATGAGTTGGAACAAAGCTGAAACTCACACCTCAGGAGCTCTAGCACAATACCTTTATCACTCTAAAGCTTCTTGGTTAATTTACTGCCAAAAAAATGTTGCAAGAGAATCAGTAAGCTGTGGATAAATCAAACTTCATGCAGCCTCGGTACCAAACAGCTTGATCATATGATAATAAGGTATTTTAATAAAAAAACTCAGTAGCTTGGATATCATTTATCAGATTCTCAGTTGCAGAGGTTTTCTCAGCTTTCCTCAGAACAAGCAGCAGTACCACCATTTAAAAAACAAAGACTATTGGAAGTGATGATTTCTATTTTAAAATAAAAGCATGGTTCAAACCCAAACTCTTCAAAAACAAGTAAAAATAAACTCACATATAAAACTAAACAAATGCATTACTGAGTCCCACACACAAATAAACACTGCACAAATGCTTTACTGTACAATTTTTGTTCTCCCAGTCCAGGTAACAAAGGCATACAGGGCCCAACTGTCCTCTCATTTCTATAGGCGTAAGTCCAGATAACTTCATTTGAGCCCACAGAATTACACCAATATCAAAAAAGAGTGAAGTGAGGGGCAAATTAGGATCATAGTCTGTTCATTGTGCTGGCTCTTCTAAATGGCATCAGCCAGAGCACTGGGTAAGGCACTTCAAGATTTAGATTAAAACTCCACAGTAGCACCATACAGATTTCTACAAACCCAGCAATATCAACGTGAAGAAAATTTAAAGATAAGGCTGTTACTTTGCTTTGTATGTAACACAATAAAAATGCATAAATGATAAAAGATATCAATGAAACAGCAAAGCATACTGCCACAAGATATTTTAACATAAAGATCCCAGTTAGAATTCAGGTAAACATCTACTCTACAGATTATATTTTTTTCATTTTTATTAGTATTAACATCATAGGAAGCAATCCATATTTATGTGACAACCTTAATATCAATGTTGCAGTGCTGCACTGCACCATTAATGTTCTAAAATAATCAGTCACAATAGTGGCTGTATATTAGAGTTAAGTATATTAAATCCTCCAAGCCACTAAGCACATTGGTCCTGATACTTTCAAGCAGAGGAGTACATATTTAACTTAGAGCAGGTGCACAGCTCCATTTGAAACTACAGCCATATTCAGAAGGCATGTCTACACATGCACTTCGCGGGTTTACTTATTTTAATGCACATAAATGTGTTTCTAAAAAAACCATGCTCTTTAGTTAATGAGCATTAAGATAGGCTAATGTGCATTTTCCTAGTATTTCACAATGGACAGTGCCTATACATGAGCAGGGAGGCTGCTCTGATGCACTGTAATTACAGTGTATCAGTGCACACTTGATTAATTGAGTCTGCTGGACAGTGGCAATTACCAACACTTCAGCAACCTCCCACATCTCCTCCATCAGCATCCCGCACTTCAAAATGGCAGTGAAGGCACTTTATCTAAAGTTTGTTTGACTGCCATTTTGAAGTGTGGGGACACTGATACATGAGATACTTCTGACACTCTAATTAGAGTGGCTCTTAAAGCTGCTCTAATTAAAATTCCCCCCACACTTCCAAAGCACATGTATAAATTCCCTGAGGTACTAGGTTTAATGCACATTAACTAAGCACATTAATGCAAGTGTAGATGCACCCAGTGTGTCCTGTCACAATTGAGTGCTATGGTATGATTTTATTCCCTCTTAAGTTAATGAAAAATGCCTTTTCTGTTAGTAGGACCAGGCCCTTCATTCATTAGCCTGGACTAATAATGATAAGAGGATCTAATTATTTCTAACAGCATCCCTGTTGTGAAGAAAAGTATGTTCACTGTTTTGAATTCCTCAATTTTCAGCATGTACCTACAGAAATGGAGAAAACGGGATAAGAAGGGGGGAAAGGAGAGCTTTACCTGAAGACCCTCTATAGCTAATCTCAGCATGCTTGGTGTAAGTTTGGAGGCCTGCTTGAAAGTGAAGTTGCTCCAGTCTATAATCAAAACAAATCCATTCACTTGAAGCTCGGGGTCTTCAATCATGGCTTCCAAAGAAAGAAGGATGGCACGCAAAATATCCACTAACGTGTACCTGTCAACAGGAGAAGGGAGACTGTATTAGGCTAAACATAAGAGAATGGTGAAGTCACAACTGCCCCCAACATCATCTGAAGGCAATCTGGGGTTTGCAAATCTCATTCTCTCTGTGAAATTTGGCACTTTATTCTCAAATCCACAAAGTATGCTACAAAATTTTCACAGAAACAAAAGGACCTCTTCATAAAAGAAAAAAAAAGAAAAGAAATACAAAACAAGCACAGAAAGAAAGAAATACAATGTGGCTTTGGAACATCTCTGGTTAACAGCAGTGTCAGTCTATTAAAATTCAATTAAATGCCCTCTGAGTACTTTTTACCCCTAAGATGGCAAGTTTGAATACTCAGTACAGAATCTGATGTTTATTTTGTTCTTCGACTTTCTATATTGAATGTTAGTTTAGGGGGATTGTACAATACGTGCATGTATTTCATATATGTCTAAATTACAAATTCCCAGAGAAGTACTCAAGTCATTGAAGAGATAATTCCACGTTGAACTTCCTACATTTGTTCTCCCTCTTAAGTATAGTCTCTTTTCCTTTAAAAGGTTAAAACAACAAATTACACAGTTGATAAATATAAGAGAATACTGCAGTGACTTCCTTAATCCAGCAAAAGCCTGCAAAATTAAAGTTGCACATTTGTTCTTAATATTACTAGGTTATTTTCAGTCTCCTGGTAAACAATAAGTGTAGTCGTTGTAATTAGCCTGAGTATTAGTTTTCTTGTCTTAAATATCACACTTTTATATACCAAACACTAAAAATCAAATTAATGTAAATTAAAACACTTAAAATTCGAAATTGTGGCTAATGTATCTGAACTAAGATAAACCAGTATGGCAAACATGTAATGAATAGGGGCCAGATTTTATTCCATCTATCAGGCATACAAGTGGATTTAGACAGCTAAATTTAATTCTAATCTGCCCTATTCACAACCCTGAAAAACATGAGTTAGGTTCTCCTCTCTCTCATTACTTTTTGTTGACTCAGTCTTGGAGTAAGATGATGTTGTGCTACAAAAGTAGATGCATTAGTAGATTATCAGGGATGTAAACAGGATGGAATATAATAGCATTTAAGATCTTAAATCTACTTAGACACCCAACAGAATTATAGAACAGTTGGGTTGGAAGGGACCTCATGAAGTTGTCCAGCCCCTTCCCATCTGCCATCCAGCCCCCTGCCATCCTAGTCAAATATCTGAGTAACCCGCTCTTGAAAATGTACAAGGATGGAGATCCCACAACTCATCTAGGTAGCCTGTTCCAATGCTTAACCACACTCCTAATGAGAAAAATCATCTCAACCTCTTGAAGGCTCAGATCAAGTGTAGTCTATGGTTGCCTAGCAAGGGAAACACTGGGACCATGGAGGCAGTCTTCCTAGCCCCACTGGGGAAGACTGCTCTCCTGGCACAGGGAAAGTACCTGCTAAGGTGATGTATAGTAAGCCTCCCACTTAGCTGCTTGAGTGGGAAGATCTTGGCTTTAAGCCCACTTATGGAAATGGAGGACTTCTCCCTGGCTTGCCAATGGGTCCTTAGAGATGAGGGTAAGCAAAACTAGGGGGCATCCAAAACCCAAGCCTCCGGGACCTGCAAGTAGGATTCTTGCCAAAGGTTTTGGGAACATCTGAAGCCTCAGATGGGGGTGGAGGATGTTTGTCGGTAGTCGGGCCACTTATGGTTCTGGACTCTTAGATTTGGAATTTGTTTTGGCTAATTTGGCTTGGGATACAGAAAATTACATATATTCCACCTAAATTTCCCTTCCTGCAATTTAAGACTATTTCTCCTAGTCCTGTCTCCTGCAGTCACACAGGATAGTTTATCTCCATCCTGTATATACCCTTCAGGTATTTGAAGCCTGTTATCAAATCCCCCCTCAGTCTTCTCTTCTATAAACTAAACAAACCTAGCACTTTCAGCCTTTGCATGCAATTGTTTCATCCCAAGAGTCATTGCTGAATTTCATCCAACTGATTTTGAATGATTCCTCTAGTTTATCAAAGTAATTCTGAATTCTAGCCCTACCTTCCAGAGTGTCTGCAACTCCACCCAATTTGATGTTGTTAGCAAATTTGTTCTAAGTATGCACTCAATCCAATCCTCCAAATCATTAATGAAGATATTAAACAGTACCA